GTTGAGAGGGGGAAAGTTCAAAGGAGATGTGAGGGGCAAGTTTTTTATACATAGAGTGGTAGGAGTCTGGAACACACTGCCAGGGGTGCTGGAGGCAGATACGATAGAGGCATTTAAAGGGCTTTTAGATAAACACATGAATATGTCAGGAATGGAGGGATATGGACCAAGGGCAGACAGAAGGGATTAGTTTCATTTGACGTCATCGTGGGCTCGGAGCCTGTTCCTGTGCTGTATGTTCTTTCCATGTTCGAGGCAGCTTGGTGATGCAATGCATTGGCATTCCAATATGTTGCACCACAGAACAGTTGGTGCCTAGCACTGTGCCAGGCAGGTGGTAATGATGTCGGGTGGTGCAGTTGGAGAGAGGGCACATACCCACAGGGTCATTCAGGTTTGTATTGGGTGAGATTGGGCCTGGGTAGGCCTTGGCACGGGCACAAAGCGGGCGACTATGAGAAATGCAGAGAAACCCAGCTGCTTCTCTTCTTGCTGCCCAGACATTCGAGGCCAGCCCTGGAGACCACTCGCCCAGCAGCAGTGAAAGCTCTCTGCCAGGAAGCGCCAACAACAATGACAGTGGTGTGGAGATGAACACCAATGGTGGAGGCAGCTCCGAGGATCTGACCAACGTTGAAGACGTTGCCTCAGGGGATTCCGCAGCCCGGGTGCCAGATGCCAGGCTGCGGAGGAATGGCACAGCACTCCAGCGACTGGCCGACCTGAAAATCGGGAAGCTGAGGCAAAGCCGTAAAACCGCAGCTCCATCACGAGGGCTGAAACTCCCCTTGATACAAGGCAGTGGTGAGCAAGGGGTGAGGGGGCACGGGGTCAGGGGGCTGGGGTCAGGGAGATAGATGCAGGGAGGTTGTTTCCACGGGTGGGCGAGACTACAATGAGGGGGAATAGCCTCAAAATAAGGGGGCGTTGATTTAGGACTGAGTTAAGGAGGAACCTCTTCACCCAAAGGGTTGTGAATCTGTGAAATTCCCTGCCTAGTGAAGCAGTTGATCCTACCTCATTGGATATTTTTAAGGCGATGATAGATTTTTGAGCAGTAAAAGAATTAAGGGCTACGGAGAGCGGGCAGGTGAGTGGAGCTGAGTCCATGAAAAGGACAGCCATGATCTTATTGAATGCCAGAGGTGGCTCGATGCGCCAGATGGCCTACTCCTGCTCTTACTTCTTATGTTCTTATGGCAGGAGGCAGGGGTCAGGGGGCTGAGGTTAGGGGTTGAGCTTGGGTCAAGGTGCTCTGGTCAAGGAGTAATGGGCAGGGGTCAGGGAGCTGAGGTCAGGGGTCAAGGGGCAGGGTGCTGGGGTCAAGGGGCAGGGGTCAGGGGCTAGGGTCAAGGTGCAGGGATCAGGGGCCTGGGTGTAGGGGCAGAGGGCACGTCAACACTCACTCAAACCCACGCACTCACACTCTCTGACGTGGTCTTGTGGGCAGTGTGTGTATCTCTCAGATGTAAAGCGGATACTGTAAACTGTGCTATCTTCTGCCTTGTAGGTTCACACGGACAAAGCGCGGTGTGTGAGCTCTCCGCTCTGCCTTGTCACCGAATCATGGAGTTAGCCGTGAGGGATGCAGCCAGCCGGAGCCCACTTCTGGAGCGGCGAGGTAGCACCAGCAGCACCATCAGCTCGGCCTACACCGTCAGCCGTCGCTCGTCGGCTGTAACTCCTTACCTGCCGAGTCGACGGTCCAGCGATAGCTCTCTGCTCGGGGGCCGTGCTAACGATGGCACTTCATCCGAGTGCTACCCCCCCACGTCGCCTGGCGCTTTGCGGAGATATGGCGAGATGGCATCGTCTGCCACCTGCCCAGCCCTGCCCAACCTCTCGCCAGCCCAGCTGTACCATCTCAAAGCCAAGTACGCCGCAGCCACTGGTGGTCCACCACCCACCCCGTTAGTGGCTGCGGAACAGGTGGGCATGGATGCCAGGCCCTCACATGCCAGGGATCACGCCAACCCTGCCTTGTTCCCACCTGATGGACTGGAATGCCCGAACAGTGGAGGAGGAGGGTCCCATGGCTACAGGGCAGGGGTGCTGAGACCCCCGGAGATCCCTGGCATCTGCGAACCTGTTGCTGAGACCCAGTCAGTGCCCAAAGTGCCACGGCTTCACAATCTCCATCACATGCATCTAGCGGCAGTGGCAAGACAGTGCTGCCAACTACAGCACTCTGCAGGTTCCACCTCCAACCTCCGTGGACACATCCATTCCCCTCGGCCACCCAGCATTACTGAAAACGCCGTCATGGAGACGCTCGCCATGGATACATCCCATCCAGCCAGCCTAGGGTTACCTGACGACATGGCAATCTATAGTAACTATCAGGAGGCCAACATGGCTCCCTTAAATCATGTTTGTCCCAACCAAGCGCCTGGATCTCACAGCCACATGGATTTTCACAACCGGAATCTCTCTGCTAACTCCAACAGAAACCTGGGAGCCGCACAGAGCTCTTTCAACCAGGGCCCAATGGCCAGCAACATGTCACTCCAACATGACAACGACAGTCAGTGTCCAATGAATCAATACGTCACACAATTCCTGAACAGGGAATGTTTGCAGGCAAACAATATGCCCATCCAGTGGAATGAGGTAAGCTCGGGAAGTATGGATATTGTCCCCATCGAGATTCCCAACACCCGCAGTGTCCAGCAAGATCTAGCCCATCCCAATCCATGCCTGAGGCAGGTCAATCTGAATCCGCAATCATCCCATCCACCCATGACGTTTAACCACAATCATTTGGACATGACCCAAAATCCCCAGGATGTGTTGACCTCACACCAGAAGATGCCCACTGGGTGTCAACAGTCAGTGAAACCGACCTTGTCATTCCAGCAGTCGGTGCCAATGTTAAATCCATACCAAAACCCAAAGCAGCCATTGGCAGCCCAGCCAGATTACAACCAATCCAGGCATGCACTGCCCAGTCCACATGGTATGAGCCAGGAACACACTGCCAACTCGCGCCATCCGGACTCTGCTCCAGCCTTAGGCGTGAGGCATCTTGGCTCCCCATTGGATGAAGACAGGTGGACTGGTGCCCACACACCAATGATGCAAGTTAAGGAGATGATGGTGAGGAACTATGTCCAGTCCCAGCAAGCTCTCATATGGGGCCAACCAGCAAAAGGTGCAAGTGCAGAAACACTGATGCCCATCAATATGGACAGGCCAGAAATCAGTCTATGCCAAACCATGCACAGCTCTCCTTCAAACAGCTTCCAAACTCAAAGTCCGCCACACATGGCTTTAAGGTACATCAACTGCCAAAGTCAACTGAATTTATTAAGTCCTTCTACTCCAGTCCAAGCAAAGACGTCAGTCAGTGCAGGGGCTCAGTGTTTCAACTCGAGGATAGTGCCCCACCCTCCTGCAGCACAGAAGCTTCGAAGCAGACAGTACAGCCTTCCACCCCCCCAGCAGCTGCAGTACTCGCTCGCTCTAACCCACATGAACCCTGCTCACAAAGCTGCACCTTCTACAAACCCAGGTCGGCCGATCAGCCATGCACCAGAGCCTTGTCCTCAAGTGCAGCCGCAAGATGGTCACTTGTTCTTCTCTGACCTCAAGCAACAAGGCAAGTCTCAGATGGAAAACCCCATGCTGATGCATTCACCACAAAGCAACTGCGCCCTTCAGCATCACCCGGTGATGCCCAGCATGGAGCCCATGAAGCTTGACTCAAGAATGTATCCAGAGACCAATCCGATGTCGAGTCCCATTGACTCTTTGGACCTGGCTAACACACAGATTGATTTTGGAGCAATTTTGGATGAGGGACAGCAGCCTTCCTTGGTACCAGACACTTTAAGTCCTAACGTTGTCCACAACCCTTCTCAAGTGTCCTCTTGTCTGATGGCTCCCTGTAACTCACTCCCATTGCAAACAGGAAGGTCCAACATGGCAGTCACTGACATGAATTCTATGCTGACAACACTGGCAGGAGAAAGCAAGTTTCTCAATACCCTCTCGGAGTGAGAGGGAAAATCGAAGACGTGTCGAACAGTGACCTCTGGCTGCTGAAAGTACAGAGTGAGAGCAATTCTTGATCGCAGTAAATATACAACTGTACATTCACACCTTACCCCTCCGCACAGCCGTGTAGGATAAAAGCATTCCAAACCGTTTAAGGCCTCACAAACATAACCCTGTAACCAAACAGAATGCAATTCCCCAACCCATGGCCAATTTCAACTTGTGTGCTGGTGCTGAGTAAATGACGACTATAATGTCCCACAGAACATCCCAGGATGAAGGACACTTTCAGATCCTATCGAAATGACGCAGACAAAAGATGAGCACTCATTCTGTTCCTTCTTGCCAGATTTTTTAAAGAAAGTATATATTTTTGCATTTCTACAGATTGGTGCAACTCATTTTTTCAGTCCAAATATCAAATCCAAGGTCACAAGCTAAATCGAGCAGCAAGTATGCAGTATTTCATTAGCACGCTTAGATTTGACTTGTTAGAACTGTCTTCCAAAAATAAACCGATCTAAAACTGATACTTCAGGTCTGGTTCAAAACGTTTACTGCTAGTAACACACATTAAATCATGCAGAGTTTCTCAACAGGAAGAATGCTCAGCGCCATCATCAGAGCGAGATACAGTTCACCCAAGGAGGAGTTGGATACTTTGGGACAGCTGAAATCCCTGCAACTACAAATTTGCAAAACTCAATGTTCAGATTCACTGGAGGTTCACAGTTTGTCGCATTGAGATTGGACATGTATTGTCAGGCATCCTTCTAACTTACATTCAGGAAAACAGGATACAAGGACACGACAGGGAGTATCACCGCAGGTAGTGAAAATTCCATGTCAAACATATCAGTGAGACAGATTCATCTCCTCGCAATGCGCGACCCGTGTCAGCATCGAAGTGTATGAGGTGACACATGCCCTTGCAGCACTTCCACACACTCTCATACAGCGACTCAACTGTCCCCACCAATACTGTACCCCAGTGTTATACAGTGACAGGTCTGTCCCGACCCAGTACTGTACCCCCGTGTTATACAGTGACAGACCTGCCCCCACCGGTACTGTTCCCCAGTGTTATACAGTGTCAGACCGGTCCACACCATTACTGTACCACAGTATTATACAGTAACAGACATGTCCCCACCAGTACTGTACCCCAGTGTTATACAGTGACAGATCTATCCCCACCGGTACTGTACCCCAGTATTATACAATGACCGACATGTCCCCATCAGTACTGTACCCCAGTGTTATACAGTGACAGATCTATCCCCACCAGTACTGTGACCCAGTGTTATACAGTGACAGACTTGTCCCCACTGGTACTGTACCCCAGTGTTATACAGTGACAGACCTGTCCCCAACCAGTACAGTGCCCCAGTGTTATACAGTGACAGACCAGTCCCCCAACAGTAGTGTACTCCAGTGTTATAAAGTGACAGAATTGTCCCCACGAGCACTGTTCCCCAGTGATATACAGCGACCGATCTGTCTCCCACCAGTGCTGTACCCAGTGTTATACAGAGACAGACCCGTCCCCACAGGTACTGTACCCCACTGTTATACAGTGACAGACCTGTCCCCACCGGTACTGTGCCCCAGTGTTATACAGTGACAGACCTGTCCACACTCAGTACTGTACTCCAGTGTTAGAGAGGGACAGTCCTGTCCCCACCGGTACTGTACCCCAGTGTTATACAGGGACAGACCCGTCCACACTCAGTACTGTACCCCAGTGTTATAGAGGGACAGTCCTGT